ATGGGAAACTTGAAAGCCAAAATTAAGAGGAAAGGGCCGTGTACACTGACCCTAAGAAGTGTGAGTATGTAGATTGGTGGTGGGGGGTGGGGGCGGGATGTGAATACCAGCTTCTTGCTGGTTTAATCCCATGTGCTTCACTCTGACGACAAACAGTGTGTTCTGGCTAAATTCAGCTTCGGATAATTGCTTGCTGCGGCCTTATCTCCCCTGCTGTTTTGATTGGTTATGCCGCCCCCTTTTTCTCTGTGCTAGCTATGGAGTGGCATTGCTTTGTACTAGAAATAATTCTCTTGCCCCATCCTTCAAAAGTGTATTTCTGGGTCGTTCTGATTCTGTCTCTCACATACTTTCGATGTGTGGGTATTCATTTGTAAAGGTCTGTGTTATCTTCAGGTAAAAAAAAACCCCACCGAATATCATCATTCATCAATAGTTCCTATATGATGCCAGGCATTTAGAACTTAAGACAGTTTCAAGGCTGTAAGAAAAAAAAAGTGAATGAGAAGTTTGTGAATAGGGCCACATCTACAACCTTAGAGGTAAAAGTCTGGGCTTAGCTCTGAAATCAGGTATCCTACAGGCCAGCAATTCTCAAACCCTTTGAGCTCAGGATCCCTTTATATTACTCACATTGATTGAGGGACCCCCAAGAGGTTTTGTTTATGTGGATTATAGCTATTGACACTTAGAAATTAAAACTGAGAAATTTAAAAAATATTTCTTAATTCTTTTGAAAATACCTAATAAATCTATTGTATGCCAACTTAAATGATATATTTTATGAAAATTACCTATATTTTCCAAACCAAAAAAATATTGGTGAGTAAAGTGGCGTTGTTTTACATTTTTGCAAATCTCTTTAATGTTTAACCAGATAGAAGAGAGCTGGATTCTTATAGCAGCTTCTGCATTCAATCTGTTGCAACACATTGTTGTGGTTGAAGCATAGGAATAAAAGTGAGCCTCACATGGATAAGTAGTTGGAAAAGGAGAAGTATTTTAACAGTTTTTTCAGATACTTGTAGATCTTCTTTATTACTATACCAAAACTTGACAGGTGGTAATTTCTTAAAGGTTAGAAGTAGTAAGAAATCTGAAACCATATCCGTGAACTTTTATACTCTGTTACATCATAATCCAGTGGTCATCTTGTACTTTGATTGAATTTTTTTTACTCACGTATGATTTTGTAGCATTGTATTTGGTCATTTGGGAAATGTTGGGTCGCTGAATTATGCAAATATTCTAAACGTTGATGCATTTCATTTTACAATATCAAAAAATAACGCTTGTTAATATCAATGCTAACGTCATCAGAAAAGTTTTACGTATCGGGAAGCTGCCAAGCTTGTGGGGGCAGATAAAGAGCTTTCCAAAATTCTGATTTTAACTTGAAAGCTAGATTTCTGTCATTGGCAACAAATACTGTCAGCTGTTTTCCTTGAAATGACAGTCTCATTTCATTCCTTATTTGAGAAAATGTCGGCCAAATATCCAAGTCCAAATGGTTCTTTCAAGCAAAAATAGTGTTCCATGAGAAAGAAGGGTATGTAGTTCTTGCAACTGTCACACCGAGCTTTTCCTCGACAACCGTCACACCTCCATAGGCAATGAAGGGCTTTCTATGTACCTCCTCTCTCATAAAACAGAAAATTTAAAAGAAAAGATGTGTACTCAAGGGTCAAGGTTTAATAAAATGAATCGTGTTACTGCTTCATCTTAAGTGAAATTGGCTTTTTTTTAAACTGTACGTGATGCTCCCTTCCTTCATACTAAGAAGAAAGCAGTTTTACCCCTCATTGCTCTTACACCATCAGTGCAAATGTCAACAGAGTGACAAAAGCAAATAACGTGTCAGTATTCTCATCAAAATGGTTCTAGCCCCATGAACCCCCCCACAAGGATCTCAGGTCCCCCAAAAGTCCCAGATTATACTTTAAACTAAGCAGGATCTTTTCAGTATCTTGCCACCATCCCCTTACCTCAGCACCAGCCGCCCAGACAAGGGGGGTCTTGATAAAGACAAAGATACCCTGAAACCCAGTGGAGCAGTGAGAGCTTCAATGTACTATGGGGTATTGCCAGACGGGCATACGTGTACTAGACTTTGCATCCAGTTAGACTGAAGTCTTCCCGGTCTTTTTTTCTTTTATATGTTACTTGAAACTTTTAATGTCACATTTATAGTTTGGCTTGACTGCCCTAAACAAAATCCTGTAAACTTTCCACCCCAAGTGACTGTAGCTGTAATGGGTGTTTTCATTTAATGGCTTGGAGAAAAGGCAGCTTGTATTCTGGTCCTAATTCGTGAATACAACACCATTCCTCAAGCTCGCTTTCCATGTGTGAGAAAAACCTCTTACATTTCTCCCATTTTCTACGATTTCTCAAGACAAATCGTTAGTCTCTAAGGACACTTGTCGTCTGCCGCAAAGTATCCAATTCAAACATTGCATCCTTGTCTCCTTTGTCAAGTTCTGCATTTCGTCTGTCAGGGTTTTTTTCTTCTTCTTTGCTTCTTTTCCTTCTGGACCTGGAAACCAGGCACTGAGAGGATGACAAGTTCTAAAAGGTCATTTTTGAATAAAGAATTGTCTGTGCGTAGCTTTTTCAGAGTGGCGTGTTTTGTGTGTTTTAGTGAAGGAAGGTGGGATAAAAGATGGAGAGCTCCTGCTGGCCAGACGTGTCTGAAACTTCAATTTTCTTTACCACTCAGTTTCTGTGCTTTTACATATGAATCCTCTGAATCGATGATAAACTGTGGCAGGAGAAGTGTAGGTCTCTTCTGCGCCTTTAACTCTCCAGAAAGGAAGGTCACTTTACAGGTAAAAAACGCATGTACTCTGTTCTCTCTTCCCTTTATTAGGAAATTATTTTCGATGTAGTTTATACAAGGTACCATTGAAGCTAATTTTCTTTTTCCCCAAGGAAGAAGTAAGGTAAATAAGATAAAGAAAAGAATAACCAGTAATGTTGATTGGATTCCAGGAAATGTTATCAGCATCTTAATTGTCAAGAATTTTCAGTTTCATTTCTGGCTGATTAAATGCCGAGTGCCACTGTTGGCTTGGCACAGTGAGTCTGACTGTACCGTCCGGGTCACTGCAGTCCACAGAGGTTGGTTTATACTGTAGTGGATGCAAGAAACCTCTGCTCGCTCTCTTTTCACACACGCCTGCAGGCTGTGAGAGGTGAGCAAAGTTTCGCTGCTTAATGAACCAAGCCTCTAAGAAACTTCTATATTTAACTATTTAGCCTGATGCACACTTTGTGGGAGGAAGCCATTGTTTGACATCTTATGTCTTTAGTTTTCTTGTTCTTTCATGCTTGTATCAGTTTTCCCCTGATTTAAAACAAATGCACAGAAACCAGTCGGTGCAGAACAATTGAGGCTTTCAGTGTTGAGCATGCACAGCAATCACTGAAATAACCCCGAGTTATTACAGAAGAAACAACACTGAACCTTACATATTGACTTGCTCAGGCCAACAGGATCAATCGGAGGTAGCTTGTTTGTTACTCTGCAGATAATGTAGTCAGGACAGCCTTGCTGTAGACATTAGATTGTTGTTTAAAAACCTATTTCTTGCTGAGTCTCCCTCTCTCTCTCTTTCTCCCACTCTCTCTCACAAAGTAATTACGGGCTGCAGAGTGAAAAGCGTTAGAACTGTTTACAAAGCAGCTCATAAAGTTTAAAATAGTAGGGGTGTGTATATGTTTGTGTAAAACAAAATAATGTGTATGGCAGGGGTAAACAGTGCACAGGCTTTCTTCTTCTTTCCCTGCCCCGTGTCAGCCTCCAGAATTGAAGGCATAGAAGTGAGCGAGGGAGCCCCTTTCTTCCTGCTCTGCAATGCTCACGCTTAATTCGTTATGCTTATTTATCTGATGCCAGTTTATTGTTGCAGATCAAAATACAGACCCTCAGGTGTGTGGGGACAGAGTGGCTGATGAAGTGGGCCGCTATCTAATTAATTTTAGGACGGTCTAAATTCCCATACAGACGTTCTCTCATGACATCCAAGAGAGATTTTTTTTTTTAATGAGCCCTTTGCCATCTTTCAGAAGTCCAAGAGAAAAGCTTTCAGCAGGTTAGTGTTCTAAAGTGAAAGGGGCATTTTCCAACCCTTTCAAAAGTCTCTTGTGCAGATTTGCAAAGATTTTGCAGCACTCCCCGCTGTATTGTATTTATTTATTTTTTAATGTGCAAGGGGAGCCTCTAACCCCCAGCCTCGGAGCCAATCAATCACTTCGCTTTGCAGGTTTAGATCTGCTGCAGCAAAGCACAGCCTCGGTGCTGGTGGCACTGCACCAGGTCTTGATAATAGTGAGGCTGGTGCTGACAGCCGAAGGGGGGCTCTGTCCCCTTAGGCGCCGGGGCGCTGAAGACGCTAGCTGCACTGAGGGACCAGCCTCACCCAGAGGAAGCGCCTATTCCCCTGGTGATTGATGGAGGACAGTTAGGAGCTTTTCAGAGGCTGGGAAAGGTGGCCCTCCCAGCCACTTACTATGAAGTCTTTGTCAGCAGAGAGAACTCTCCTGGGTACTGAGTGACATAATGCAGACGACAAATGACAGCTGTGCGTTTCATTCCACTTGATAAGTTCTCAATATCGTACGCAGGTGAGTTAACACTCCCCCAACACGCCCCTTCCAGCCAACCGCTCCCCAGATGCTCTCTCCAAAGGCACTGTGGTGTCACAGGCACTGCTGGCTCTTCCTCATCATCGTTAGTTTTCTTGGGGACATTTAAAGTTCTGTTAGAGTGTGAGCAGGGTTGACACTCTCAGCACCATTTTATGGAGCTGATTATGACATGAAGGTATTATTTGAGTCATGTGTTAGCAGTTCTGAATGTGGATTCCTTCTCTGTCTCCTTTTTGGAGTGCTGATAAAATATATATATTATATGCTGTTTCAAGAGACTACTTCATGCAAAAACCTGTATCAAAATCCTTGACTGATGCTTCCTTTGTATTTTTTTCTCCCCCTTCTAGGACTCTGTCTGCAGATGTTCTGAATACCTCTGAGTATAGAAATTGGTTATTCAACCAGGATACCTAATTCAAGGTATTAGCTCTTGTCAGAAAGCTTTTACGTTCAAGCTCTGCGTTGGAAATTATACTTTGGCAATGCATTGAAATAGGAAAAGTTGGAATGAGAATAAAGCATAAAAGTGAATTTGCAAAATAATCAAGTGCTTAAAAAACTACCCTCCGCCTGTGAGGGTTTGCCATGCTGACTCACGTGTAGCCTGTCTTGGCCAGCTTCTGTGCCCGTTCTCGCTCAGTTGTAGCCTTTTTCCTGCAACTGTGTTTGGGGTTTGGATTTCATTTTAGTCTCTTCTTCTCCCTTTCTTTCTGACTGCCCAGACCTGCAGAAACCAGGAGACTGCGACCTTTTGTCAGTTTTGCGACATTGGACCAAACACGATGAAGTATTCTTGCTGGGCGCTGGTTTTGGCTGTCCTGGGCACAGACCTGCTGGGGAGCCTCTGTTCGACTGTCAGATCCCCGAGGTTCAGAGGACGGTTACAGCAGGAACGCAAAAACATCCGCCCCAACATTATTCTTGTGCTCACTGATGATCAAGATGTGGAGCTGGGTGAGACACCGGATTTTTCACTTGTTAGTCTCTCTTGTTCAAATGATTTGCTGGCCTTCCGAGTTATCAGTAGCAGTCAGGCAGCATTTTGGGGTTTGGCACTTAATTATAGTACCTTAACCAACAACCTAGCTTATAAAATGAACTTGTATTGATTATAAGGCATTTGGTTTGTGTTTCAACATTCCTTTTCTGGTCTTAAGCTTTTGAAACAGGAGGGGCCTAGGAGAATACGAGGATGGAGGAAGAGAGTAAGCATGGAATAAATACTATAGAAGTCAAGGATTTGATCGTGCACCTTGGAAACTGTTGGTCAAGAAATTTTTTAAATATTTGGGCAAAGTGGTTTCAAAGAGTATGAGATTATGACCTTGATTCTATGCGATGTATGTGAATATCAACAGATGCTAGAGAAACTTTCAACAGTTATTATTATTAGAGTGAATGATTTATTCAAAGCTTGTAACATTGTTAGGTAATTGAAAGTTACAGTATTTGACATATCTTCTGGTAGTAATTCACTGCCACCACCTTGGGTATGATGCTTTTCTGAAGAATTAGCTCACCTGGGTTAATTCTAGAGCACTCAGAAAGCCTGCCCAAGTTTGGTGGTTCCAACTTAGCTTCTGTATCATCTGATTGGGTTTCTCATCTTCTTACCTTCTTTAATGACCCAGCCCTACAGTCTTGCTCATAAGCCTAGGGTCAAGTTCGAGGGTACCCTAGGACAGACAAAAAGCTTGCCCTTACAAGTTGTCACCACCACTCATTTCCATTCCTGGACCCAAATTCCTCACTCTCAGCTTCCCCCAGCTAGGCTTACCCATCACACTCGCCCATCACTAGCATCTTTCAGACTCAGTGCTAGCAGAGCACCTGCACTTCACTACAGAGCTCCTCTGGCTAGGGTTCTTGAGGCTAAAGCCCTCCATGCTGGAACTTGATCTGCGCGGAAGAGGACTTTGATTTCAGGTTTGAAACTAAACCACGGAATCCCAACAACGTTAACTCCCTGGGTTCAGCTGGGAGCAAATGCACTAAGAGCCCGCAGGGGGAACGATTGTTGAGGTTGATTCACAGAGTCTGCTCTCTCTCACTTCATTTTTCAAACAAAAGTATTGATTTTTAGGCAATATGACAAACTGAAAAGTCTTGCAGGTATGACTTTAGTGTGTATGTGGCTGGTGGTTTAAGTTTTCATTCATTTACAGAGCAAGTAAAATGAAGTGAACAAATTTGAAGTTGCCTCCTTTAACATCTCTCCCATCCATCCCATTCACTACAGCCAAGATCTGTAGACTCTTTTCTTCTCTCCCAGTTTTTTCCTAACTGGTTGGTCACCTGAACCACCTGCCCCCATAGTCTTGGCCCCTCCTGTCTATTCTTCACTCCATTGCCAGAGTCATCTTTCAAGTATCTGATCAGGTCTCTTCTGCTTAAAGCCCTCCATGGTTTTCCTTTGCCCAAAGGATTAAGCCCCTCTCCTCTGTAGGCAAATAAGCTCTGGGCCATCTGGCCCTGCCTATCTCTGTGAGGCTAATTCTCTTTCCCCCACTTTCGCTCTATGCTTCATGGAAATAGCTTACACTTCCCTGAAGGTATCTAGTGGCTTCGTCTCCCTCACCTGTATTTCATGCCTTTGCACGTTCATCCCCTCTGCCTTTTCCCCTTTCTCCACCTGGAGAAGCTCGACCTATTCTTCATGACCGAGTTCAGATGTCTCACCCTCGGGGATCTTCTCTCACCAAAACCATCCTCCCCTCCAGCAGGGTGGATGGAACTTTCCTTTGCATCCCCTTGGACATGCCTCCAGCATGGCCCTTAATCCATCATGTGCTTCCATACCTGTCTCTTCCTCTTGACTGACAGCTCCTAGAGGGCAAGAGTGTGTTTTGTTTATGTTGCAATCCTGATGCTGGGAATAGTAGGTACTAAATAAACAAGAAATGGACCCACAAGAGCCTAAAAAACCCAACACAGTTCCCGTAAATGAATACTGGTATCTATCATGATCTATCTCTTCAATATGCAGTCCTTATGTTTAAATTAAGGAGTTGTTTGATAATTTCATTTTTAACAGAATTCAAACCTTCATCCTTATACTATGGTTAATTAATTCATTCAGTAAATATTTACTGAGCAATTACTAAGGACTGACTTCTGTTGGAGGTATGTGGATATAATGCTGAAGGGTCACAGACCAGGGTCAGTAAACCCAGTTGTTTCCTATATATTTACCTTTTTCCTAGATTTTTCTAGCCAGTTCCCATGCTAAGCATTTGCTCATTTAATCTTCACAATAACTCTATGAAGTAGTTACTATTACTCTTCTCAGTTTTTACATGAGAAAACCAAGGCTTAGAGAGGTCCTGTCGGCTGTGGTGAGCTAGTAAATGGTGAAACTAGGACCTGTGCTAGGCCTGGGTCTCCACAGCTGCACATTTAACCATGGTCCCTTCCATCAGTCAGAACTTCAACAACAAGTATGTATGAGCCCTTCCTAAAGCAACCTGTAAATGCATAGTAATGTTCTAGGTTCTGAGAGAGAGATAACAGAAACATAAGATGGGTCTTATTATCTCACTGGCAAAACAAGTTGATGGTGAACCATAAGTAAAATGTTTAGAAAAGACCTTTCTCAGCAGAAAAAGTATGCTCTTGGTTGTGGGTACTGCTTGATGGAGATTTTTGTGTAGTCTTTTGTAATGTTCTCATAATTCTTCTTGAACCTTACTGCTCCAGACTTCAGTTGGTTTTTTATTTTGGGGTTTTTTTTTTTTTACCACCTTAACCATTTTTAAGTATACAATTCAGTAGTGTTAAGTACACTCACAGTGTTGTGCAATCAATCTCCAGAACTCTTTTTCATCTTGTAAAACTGAAACTCTATACCCATTAAACATTAAATCCCCATTCCCTTTCCCCGAGCCCCTGGCAACCACCATTCTATTGTCTGTTTCTATGAATTTTTTTTTTTTTTAATTTTATTTTTCCCCCAAAGCCCCAGTAGATAGTTGTATGTCATAGCTGCACATCCTTCTAGCTGCTGTATGTGGGACGCGGCCTCAGCATGGCCGGAGAAGCAGTGCGTCGGTGCACGCCCGGGATCCGAACCCGGGCTGCCAGCAGTGGAGAGCACGCACTTAACCGCTAAGCCACGGGGCTGGCCCTGTTTCTATGAATTTGACTACTCTGGTACTTATATAAGTGGAATCATACAGTATTTGTTTTTTTGTGTGTAACTGGCTTATTTCATGTAGCATAATGTCCTTCCTCAAGGTTCATCCATGTTGTAGCATGTATGAGAATTTTCTTCCTTTTGAAGGCTAAATAATAATCCATTGTATGTATATATACCACATTTTGTTTATCCATTCAACTGTTCATAGAAATTTGGGTTGCTTCCACTTTTTGACTATTGTGAATATTGCTACTATGAACATAGGTACATAAACATCTCTTTGAGACCCTGCTTTCAATTCTTCAGAGTATATACCCAGGAGTGGAGCTGCTGGACAATTTGATTTTTAATTTTTTGAGGAACCACCATCCTGTTCTCCATAGCGACTGCACTATTTTGTATTCCCACCAACAGTGCACAAGGGTTCCAATTTCTCCACATCCTTACCAACACTTGTTATTTTCTGGGGTTTGTTGATAATAACCATCCTAATGAGCGTGAGGTGGTATCTCATTTTGGTTTTGATATGGTTGGGTTTTGTCTTGTTTTTTTACTTACGTGTAATTATATTTGCCAAGTGCTTGAATAAATCTTGACCTAAGCAAAACTCTTTGCGTCTGTAATATTGCAGGCAGTTTTGGCTAGTGTGCCTCCAAAAAGATATAACAGACTTAGGAAAGGCTTAGAAAAACAATTACAAAAAATGTAACCGAATACTTTTCCTTTTGGGAAAGAATAAAACAATTCTACCTCTTTGTCTGGAAAGACAAAGACTGAGAAGGATTGTCTCAGTTTATGAAATCAAGTCAAAGTTTATGAAATCAAGCTGGGAAGGAAAGCTCTTATTCAGTGTGAATGGGGGCCACTCCCTCAACTTTGTCTGAGGACGCATAAAATAAACTAGTACTTCGTGAAGGCAGTAAGATGCATAAGGAATTCATTAATAAAAGTGCTAGAACCTTGCGTGTGGATAACATTTTGTCTTTTTCCAAAGAACATTCGTTCTCATTATTGCATGTTATTGTCATCCCACCCAAGTTGGGTGGGTAGAACAAAGATCATTATCTCAGGAGAAAACTTAATCTGTGGAAAGATTAAATGACTTAACCAACGGTTCTCTTACTTCTGGATTTGCTTTTTCCACAACTTCAGAAGTTGTTCAGGTTGTGCCTAGACCTGTAAATAGTTTAGGTTTTTAGACTAAACTAATGGGTGAAGGTTTGCCATTTTTTTTAAGCTAGAAAAACACACATGAACATGATTAACATGAAGTTTGGGATGCTGGTTACCTCTGGGAAGAAATGGTAATCGAGGACACCAACAGTATCCACATTTTAAAATTTTAAAAATATATCTGAAGCAGCTATGATCAAATGTTAAGCTTCGATAAAGCTAGAAGATTTGTTGTTTATTCTAATATTTCCTGTACTTGAAATATTTTATAAATCGAAAAGAAGAAAACCAGAAATGCTTTCAAGATTTTCCTAACTTTCTGAGACTGAGTCAAGAACATTAGGTTCTAAATCTTTCCCAAATGGTCCCTTGGTGCCACTCTGAGAAACAAAACAGTGAGCTGATGGGACCGTTGATCTGACTCAATGTGGCATTTCTTATATTCTTAGGAAACTGGGCTGATGCTAACATCTCGGTAACGCTGACCCAATTCTCTTAGATCACAAGTGGAATTAAGAAACCATAAATGTTTGGAAAAACTTTGTTTTTTAAAGCAGAGGTCACAAATGGGATTTGCAGTCCAGAGCTAGCCCACAGATGCCTTTTGCTTGACCAGCACACTTTTTAAAATCAAGGCAACGTTTTA